TGCGGATAACCAACGAACTGTGACAACAACAGCAACCAGTACCAATCACCATCAACGGGGGAGATTTGACAGAAGTTACCCCCTTCACTTATTCGGATAGGAAGCATCGTTTCAACCACGGGGATTCGGAACGGATGAAGATGACAAAGTCAGAGTTGGAGAGGCGAGATACGCCTTCATCAACCTGAAACCAGTTTGAAATCTTCTGCACTCAGCATAAGGACTAAGAGACAGATTTTCAACGCCAATGACAAGTCGGTCCTTCTATACGGTCCAGAAACTTGCACTGAGTGTCACGATAAGGATTTCCAACCGGTTGCAGACTTTTATCAACAGCTGCTTTCGCTAGCTCCATACTGGAGACCAAAGGACCAGCTGGCAAAAAGGATTAGCACCAAGGAATTCTGGGAACAAAACAACCAAGAGCCGATTGCTCAACGAATATGTAGGAGAAAATGGAGGTGGATCGGGCATACGTTGAGGAGACCGTCGAATGACATCGCGCACCAGGCCATCAAGTGGAATCCAAATAGGAAGCGACAAGTGGGTCGTTCGAGGGTGACATGGAGATCGTGTGTGAAGGAGATGAGAGGTTATGGGCAGTAGTGAACGGCAGAAGATAAGACAATTCGGAGATGCGTTGTTGAAGCCCTATGTTCCACTCGGAACCCAAGGGAATAATAAGAATAATTTGGCGCTTTCGTTTGTCTTTGCTCTACGCGGAACAAATACTATAGGGGTTGGAAGTATAAAACCTTGAGCTAGTATACGGCGTACTATCCACGAACGTCAACACCCTCAGCCTCTAAAGAATAGGAACTTCTACCTCTGTAATCACTGACTCAGTTTGCTGACTTCAACTTTGGCCACTTCCTATAAATCTACATTACTTGACACTAAGAGTAAATTGGGCCACGTTAGCATAATTCGAGGATTAATTTCTATTCCCAAGAAATCATCTAATCAGATATCGGAAAATAGTAATTCATCGTAAATTGCTTGATGTAATGCTGTTCGATGCGTAGCGTAAACCATTCTTTTACTCTACTTTTCTTTCGTCTATGAGAAATCTACAGAGGTGGATTGAAAGCCAATGAAAAGTATGCGTAGGAATATTTCGCGGCCCAAGGACATAATTTAATGATTAAAACAATAAAAGATAGAGAACATTTCATGCATTATGTTGGATGGAAATTCTGTAAGCCCAGTGGTTCAAGCAGGCCCACCGGGGTAATTCACTCATATATAGTCCAAAGAAGTTTCACAATTCCTTATTGGGAAATCTACAATTAATACAGGCGATTGTTACATTTTCGGGAGTACTATGAGCTAGTAACAGTTTATAATATACTCATGATCATGTGTTCACATTATGTTGTTCCTTGCCAGGTGCTTTTAGAGGCTGAAGTTATTGACGTTCACGGATATTACGAAGTATACTATCGCAAGATCTAATACCCACAACTTCTATAGTATTCGTTCCACCTAGACCAAAGGCAAAGCAAAACACAAGAATTGATCGTCCAAATTACGAGTTATATTTCGGGACCAAATCGGAGTGCGAGATGATTGCTTAGCTAGCTAGGGATCGTGCACGAACCACGACAGAGTACTGAATGGCGTGAATGCTTGACCGGAAGCCTTCAGCTAAACAAATCGACTAAAACAGTGAGGGTCAGCATCCAATGTTCAGTGATGAATGCTGTGGCCAATAATTCTGGGGAATTACCTACCGCTGCATGCTCATACAAAAAAGTTTTCTGGACATTGTTGAACTATCCTACTGAATTGGAGAAGTAAGCAATGTAGTGGACAGCAGTACATATGACATTGAGATCCACTGGGAACCTTAGATGGTAATCGACTTCACGAACTCATAGACGATTACACTTGGATTATAGAAGCTAATTGGTACGATGTACATTTTGAAGGTTAGTTTCCCAAGATCGCTGATTCTAAATTGCAATCTGGAGATACCACCTGACAATAGATCTTAGACGCAGGATTTAGATAGAAGCTATTTCCTTAGATAGATATTCAAATGAAGTAAACCTGACATTGATCTTTTGAAAGTGATAATGTGCTTCATACTGTGCAATTAGTAAGGGTGGAAGAAAACAAAATCCTATTTAGTTTGTTACTGTTGTATACTGTGAAAAAATTTCATGGGAGAAAGCGTATGTGCCATGCACAAAATATAATATATCCATGCTGAGGGTAATGAGAACTTGTAGCAGATAATCTTCAGAATAGCTATCCTTGAGAGAACTCTTCGAAGTTCATTTTTCACTATTTTTATAAAATCACCTAGTCTAAAATAACTGCGCTACTCTGCAACCTACTATGAATCGAAGGATGTATTATTAATACAGGTACCAATTACCAAAATAGATACTGTTGATGCAGCCAAGATAAATTTCTGACATCAAAAATAGGATAGCTTCACCGATGAAAAGCTTTCAATGCATTTCACACCACCGAACACAACATGCCGGCATGCAACTAGTGTCGGAAGAAATGAGGCGTACAAACAGATTTTACAAAAAACACAAGTTGTATTCACAAACACGCCAATAATGCAAACTCCCTGCTTCAACATTCGTTTCCTTTCTATTATTACCACAAGTGAACATGGTCGTTTAAATCCGTTGACTACACAGACGAAAGAAGACTAAACGGAATCGGATGGGCGCTAAGATTCTCTGATGACTTCACCTAGTTTATTAGCTCTCAGTTTAGCCGGTCCACTTGGCCAAAGAGAGTGCGCTTAGCTTGTACACAAAAACTTAGAATAATAAAAAAACTCAAATAAAAAATTTTGGACCTGGTGGAAGACTTCGGGAAGCCAGTCGACCGATGTGGCTTCATCGATGAAAGCGAAATAAGGCTGGGGTTGTGGAATGTTCGCGAGGTGTACGAGGCTAAGAAAACTAACTGCCCGTGTTGCCAAACATATGAGAAGACAGCGTATAGAGGTTCTAGGAATCTGTGAAAGTAAGTGGACTCTCCGAATCGTTAACTGGAGACTCAATAGTCTACTTTGGTCACCCGAGCGACAACCACAAGCCCACTAAGGGAGTGGCTATCATGCTGTCACCAGCAGCAGCGAAAGCATTAAAGACACGACTTCAAGTGAATATAGAGAACACGGAAGTGATGAAGATAACCAATCGACGAACGAACAACAGCAATCACCGTCAGTCACTATCAACGAGAGAAATTTGAAAGGGATCACTCACTTCCTTCGTTTATCTGGCAAACGTCGCCTCAACTACATGCACACTACAAGGATGTGCATTTCAAAATCGGAATCAGGAAGGCAAGATACACCTTCATCAATCTGAAGTCAGTTTGGAAATCTTCTACACTCTGCATCAGCAAAAAGGATAATATTCAGATTTTCAATACCAATGTTAAGTCAGTCAGTCAGTGCTTATATACAGGTCAGACAGTTGGCATTTCCAACAGGCTACTGCAGAGTCTAATCAACAGCTCCCTACTTCACTGGCTCCATTTTGAAAATCAAATGGCCAGCCGGGCAGAAAAAATTAGCCACGGGGGGAACTCTTGGAACCAAGAACCTATTGTCCAACAAATATGTAAAAGGAAATAGAGATGGACGAGACACATACTTAAGAGACAGTCGGGTGAGATCAAGTGTCGGGCCACAGCTCGAGTGGAACCCGAATGGGAAACGACGAGTGGGTCATCCGCAGGTTACATGGAAGACATTGTGTGAGAAGGAGCTGAGAGATTATGGGCAGTAGTGGACCCAGATGAAGAGGACGGCAGAAGATAGGACAAAGCGGAGATGTGTTGTTGAAGCCCTATGTTCCACTCAGAATCCAAGGGAACAATAAAATAATAAGTTTTTCTAATATTCATGAATTCTATTAAAGGTGAATCACAAACTTTGTCCCATTCCTATAGATACCAACTGGAGTTATGCTTCTTAAGTGTATTTGCAGAGTTGACATAAGGATAATTATGATAATCAAAAAGTTTAACTCATTTGTGCAATACTTTTAAATTTAAAAAATAGAATGCATTTTGTCATATGCAACAGTAATCTGAAACAGAAATGCTTTGTCTCTGAAATGTTTAGTGACCCAAAACTTTGTAATTTGAAGGTTTTGAATTAGACTCTACATATTGCCAGTTCACCCAAGCAGTTGGTCACAATTTGGCTGATTCGATTCTCTAAGCTTGACGCTAAGTGAGCGAAGCGACCGTCCAGTATTTTAATCGCTTCGATCTGGCTAGGAAACCCGAATATTAGGGATGAGTGGTTTCTAACTACTCATAGCAAACCAGTAGTATGTACCACATCTACGGTTCAGAATAACTTTTATTCTAATACAGTTGGAATATACCGCTACACTCTAGCACTAAATGAGATGAGCAAACTCAATCTGACTTTATTTATATACGTTATATGTTGTTTGTCATTCGTGCTTTCAATTCGATGAAATCGTACATAACGCGGTGTTTTTTTTAAACCGTGAAGCCTACGGAATTATACCATCCCCGCTGCAAATCAAGAACTGGGTAAATATTTCTTTCATACATTAATATAGATCTGATTGACAATAGCTAGTTTTGTGATAATACTGCCCACGTAGTAGTTGTCTAAACAAAAGTGATATATATGGTTTACCTTCAGATAAATTTGAAAAAGTTTACGTATATACATTTGTATATGTGTATATTGAAAAAATGTAGTTAAAGGCAGACAGCTGTTATTATCTTTCAGTGATTTTTCTTTTTATTGAGTTATGTTATTACAGATATGAAAATGTTGAATTTTTGCTTGGTATCAAGGTTAACATTCGCAACAATGCCATAAATGTAAGATGGTTCTGATGATGATATGATTTAGTGGATAGAATAAAAAAGAAAGAAGGTTTATTCCATTCTATAGAAAGAAGCGAATGAAACTGAAAAATGATATGCTTTTACTTCATTTCTTTTTTTTTAACGCCGACAACTTCAAACTTTGGTTATTGCTTTAGGTTACGCAATACTGGAACTGTATAGTCTTTTAAGTTTATTGTAGCATCAAAGTAGGATTTCGGGCAAGTACAAACTTCTCCAGGAGTTTTCTGAAATAAATAAATAAAGATAGAGTTTTGCTGAACATTTGAGAAGCACAGATTTAACAAAATTGTGTGAGTGTTTTAAGATATATATATAAGTAAATTTTATCGAATAATAAGATAAATACTATGAAGCTCTTAGTAGGAGAAGTAAATATTGTATATTACGTTGATTTACTGATTGGTCAGAAAAACTTCAAAGAATATCAGAAAAGCTAATCACTGAAACTGTTGGATTTCAACTATAAAACACTGAAGTTAGTAACTGCCTTATGCTTAACCCTATACAGCATATTCTCAAAGAAAGTGAACGGATTACGCATGAAAAAGATGTTTGATACGATTTTGTATGAGCACTGATATATAAAACTGTATTTTATCCACCGAACAAGGAAGGGTGATTTTCAAAGGACACCACTAAACTTATTCCCAAACTACGTGAAAAACAAAAAGAACGACCAGAAAGTGACCGGTTTATGGACACAAACATTAAGATAAAGATTAGATCAACAGTATAGTTCAGCGGAATGTACGATACCAATTTCCTCCCAGTGAATCTTTTTTGACGAAACCACAAGGGAAAAATAGAGAATCAATAAATGAAATTAAAAGAAATCAGTATAATACTTTATAAGAAGAGTATCAATACTGTACAAGTTATTTATAAGCCATGTCACTTTTTCACACAAACATCTAAGTATAAATTTCGCTTTAGAAAGAAGACAGAAAGAAACTCTAATTCATTTCGAAGAAGTAATTGCGATACCAATCTCAAACACTGGTTACGAAGAAATAAAATTTAAAGAAAAACTAGTCGAGAATGATATCTAAGGTACAGCTTGAGCAGTCACGAAAAAATTTCATATTCATCATGAGAACCCCTTCCAATGTGTTCGGTTACACAGTAAAAAGGATTAACTGCCCCTAGATTCAATCGCGTGTATCATTATAACATCACGTCTGTCATCTTAATCTGATTCTATGAATTTATATCATGCTGTGCTGTTCGATAAATTGTGTTTCAAGTTAACTTCTCAAAGACATAGGCTGTCTTCTAGGTTTCAAATGCACCAGGAATAGATACTGTTAGTTTCTATTAGATCAAAGCACAAAGATATCGATTAGTATTTTTAATGTCTTATGATACCCGTATGCATAATAAAAACTGCAAGATATGCAAGAAAAAGCTACAGTCTATATATCACTCAGGATTTTTAAAAGTCTTTCAAGCAAATAATCTGAACTTGATGCTTTCATCATTATCACAACACAGTTTTCAGAGAAGGTGGAAAAGTAGTGACTTTGCACTTTGTTTTATTCTCTTCTAAACCAAACAATAACAGAATGAAACTAAAATAAACGCCATTAGTTGTTCTAGTGCTTCATATGCATCATGAATCAAGTATCACTAAGTGTATATGTGTACTGTCTAATAGCTTATTTGATAGTTTGAACTAAATCTAGTTCTGAAAGAGATGGTAAATACACATTGTAGTGTTTATTGATAACAAGCTGGAGGAATTTTGATCACAGGTATATACTTCAGCCGCTTCTCATTATAACTACCATTTATTACCATTTTTCTTGAAGAAACATGAATATAATGAGTTCTTAAACAATTTACACAAATTTTTATTTCAGAGAAAATACTCACCTTTTTGTCGTACAGTAATCCACGATAATGACCTGAAGATTTCTTGCATAGAGGCACAGGACATAATAGAGGCCATAGCCGCTCATTTAATAAACAAGGTAAAATGATAGATATAGCGATGGTAACAGCAGTCAGAGCAAGAAAAGCGATCGTCAGTGGACGCAATTCCACAGTAGACCATCGTAATAAGTAAAATGCAGATATATTGATAGTACCCATACAAATTCCAGCCAGGCTAAATCGAGTTGACTCGATGAACCACTTCAAATGGTAAATATATCTGTAATTATTGCTATCTCTAAAAAAAACAAAGGTGTTAAAGAAATAATAATGAGGTCAGCTAGTGAGATCATAAGTCACCAGGTTATACCAAAGAAGATTCAATGTTGAAATAATTTCTGTCTGTACACCAACAGAGTGTAAGAAACTTTAGTACTGTGCACACTGACAACAGTTTGCTGGTAAGATAGTGTACTATGTGAACCTTAGGCTAAGTAGCCTGATGATGGTTGAATATACTGAAAATAAGTTCATTTAGTAAGGTTTCGTCCTTGCTTAGAATCATCACTGACACATTTCTCTCGTAGAAATCGTACTGTGTTTACAGTGTGAATGACCTCACTAGAAACTTGTTCATATTCATTGCTTATACTCATTATGACTGCTCTTTTCTAAAAGTAAATCATGTACACCAGTCACGTGTTTGAGGATGACCAATACTATTCCATGAAACCTTTATCAATGAATATAGCCTATGATTTAAGGAATAAAAATGTTTCATACAATGATTTCCTTTTATAAATTTGAACAAAGAGAGAAGAAACATTGGCGCAGAATAATCTGGATCCATTTTATTTCGTTGGTTCTCATCAGCTGCGTGCAACCTGAATTTTTGTTATTAAAAATAAATAGTGTACAATTTTTAACAAGCAAGCATAGTGTCACAGCGTCATAGTAAAATAAGGCATTGAGATTTACAGGGTGTCTAAAGCGTCACAACATGTATATATATATATCTTGGTAGAGAGAAGTTTCTTGAAAAAAAAATTAGTTAACAGTTGTGTTGTTACGGTGGTAACAAAAGAAAATTAGCAACAGTTATGTAATTAGATAAGAGAACATCAGAATTTCTCATCTGACCTCATGTGCACCGTAATTTTAAAAATTTTGATCTCCTCTTATCTAATTACGTAACTGTTGCTAATTTTCTTTTGTTACCACCGTAACAACACAACTGTTAACTATTTTTTTTCAAGAAACTTCTCTCTACCAAGATATATATACACATGTCGTGACACTTTAGACACCCTGTAAATCTCAATGCCTTATTTTACTATGACGCTGTGACACTATGCTTGCTTGTTAAAAATTGTATACTATTTATTTTTAATAACAAAAATCCAGGTTGTACGCAGATGATGAGAACCAACGAAATAAAATGGATCCAGATTATTCTGCGCCAATGTTTCTTCTCTCTTTGTTCGAATAAAAAGGTGTCTATTAGGTTAGACCAGATTAACATCATACTGCATTGCGTTTCCTGCCTGACAAGACAAAGTACTATTGATAACTGTACAAGATCTAAGTTACCTTTTGTGTTTTTAAGTGTAGTTTTTTTTCCTTCACGTTCCCCAGTGGAACATAGGGCTTCAAGCTAATGACTTGAAGTTTCCGTAGCAGTGTTTATTTTACAGGATGGGGTTGCTAGCCTCATGCCCAACCTTTCCTCTTCACTAGCATTATTATTATTACTTATTATTATTATTACTTCATTGTAAATAATTGTAAAGTTTAAATTGACTGTGGAAAGTGCAGTACAAGAGTTAACATTCTGATTTATCGAAAGGGTTATTATTAAAAAGTACCAAGGATCACCATTAGTTAAACTATGGATGAATAATTCAAACAACAGTGTGGTATTTATTCAAATAATAAGTAGTGAATAGATTTTTTTCTCATATTAACACACGATATAAATCTTCTACGTAAAAAATGCTTATTTAGTCGATGAAAATGAGTGTTCCCATCTCAGAAATATATTACGTAGAGTAAGTACTCACTGAGACTAATCCATCCTATGTTTTATATTTACGTTTCCTAATTTTATTTGAGCGATTTCTTTGCTTTAGGCTTAAAATCGTAATTTCCGAAAGTACGTTGACTGGGTTGGAAAGAACATATACATAGGCAGTTTGTGAAAAATTCCCCAAGAGCATATATATATATATATATATATATATATACGGAATTATCGAGTTTAATCTTCATTTCGAAGTTTAAACATTAGACGAACAGAATTAATCCGGGAACATTACACCTGATAGTGTCATGAAATTTTCCTTATGGAAACAATTCGTATACTTACTCTCAGGCTTAGTTATGCAGTTGGTGTCGAGAATGAAAACGATGACAAGAAGGAATACATCCCAATATAACAGGCATTTCTCATAGTTGTAAAATTCAAATCAAAATTAGTTTTCATAAAAGAAGAGTTAAGCTTGTTCATATGGTATAAGTATAAAACTTGGGCATTGTGGTAGAGCATAACTCCATTATGGATAAGAATTTATTTTGATAAATCACACAGTGTTGTAGAGTAATATTAACTGATGACGTTTCGAGCACAAAGTATTGCTGGTATTAGATGGTTGGAGGCAATCGGCAGGAAGCCTTGCACCTAGATTTCGTGCTAGTTGGCACTCATCAGCAAGGCGTATCTGCAACCTTGAAGGAACTGATGTCCCTTCTGAGATTCGAACCCGCATCACCCAGTGCTGCAGTCAGAGACATTACCACTGAGCTATTCAGGCTCGCGACTGATCTCCTGTAGGACTGTATTGGATATTCTTGATTACACACTAGTCAGTAACTAGTGTAATGTGTCTAGTCCTATCTTCGGTTCACATTGCAAACATGATTGTTTTGTTGTTTACTTCGGCTATCTCCTACGGGAGGATGAGCCGTCTTCATGAATATCTCGAATCATCGCTGCCCAGGCGCGGCGGTCTGATGAAGAGAGTTCATGAAGTTTCATGGGAATTTGGTACGAGTGATGTCCCCAGAATCGCTCGGCCTTTTGTTTGAGAGTGCAGCTCTAGCCTTTAAACAACCAAGTGTGACCTACAAGGCAGTAGGAGTGGAGTAGGGAGTCCACTGTCCATTGGCAGCCGGTGACCGGAGTTCGGTTCATACGCCTTTTTGAATGGGGCCAGACATCCAGGACATCCAACAAGCCCTTTGTCCATACGTCTGCCGGTGAGTTCCAGTGAGCTTCATGCACCAGTCGTTGGAGGTTTGGAATCAGGGTTTAGCCATCTCCCCTAGACTGTCATCCAATGGACAGTCAACCCGGTGAGGAGCGCCGGGCATCCGCTTTCGCCCTCTCACCTCCGCCATGTGAAGGCAGTGAGTAGGAATTCCTCAGGAGAGGCTATGTAAGACGCCCGGTCATATGAGAGCATTTCAAGAGGTGTGCAGAGGGGTGGCCAACTCGCAGCGCAAGGCACGCACCCCGACCATCCTGAGGCTTTGGAATTCAGTCTGCACCGAAGATTATGATTATGAGTGGCAATAGTTTGTGCTCGAAACGTCATCAGTTAATATTACTGTACAACACTGTGTGATTTATCAAAATAAATTGTTATCCATAATGGAGTTATACTTGTTCATATGGGTTGATAAAGTTATGTAAACTGCTAACTGAATGAACCAAGGAATTAATTTATAAAATTATTCAATCACAAAGATAATACAGCACAGGAGTGAAGAAAAGTTAATGAAAATTAAAAATAACGATTTCAAATGAAAAAAACAACAACAGGGAACATCACTTTTCATCAGTCTTACTGTTCAAGATTTTAGCAGTTAATAGTCGGCAATTACCATTTTCACATACCGAAATCGAATAATACCACGGAAAATATTCCATTCTGAGTTTGTCTTTTTTAAAATTCAGTTCATTTGTTTTACAAAGCATATTTAAATGTTATTTATCCTCTTACAATCCCCTTTGTTTCTTAATCCCACTATTATAAATATATATGTATATATATATTTCGCAGAGTATAAAAGTGTGAAGAAATACGACCCTATAGAGTGAGTTTGCTGTCGACCTGTCTATCTCACTTTGAACAGCATCTATTTATAATTTGAAATTGCATATGTCAACAATGTAAACCATTTGATGAAATACTTTTGAATTCATGAATTATAATGCATATAAAATAAGTAAATTAGAATACTACTACTAATAGTACCATCACCATCACCACTACCACCAACCTGAAACGCATGACACAGGCTTTTTAGTACATTATATTACAATTATCACAGTCAGTATGCGTGCATGTTACACAGACTATTCACTGGTCGATAATCAATCAACTATTCTGCATTGAGATCATATAATAATTTCTGCTTCTTTCCAATGAAAAGACATAAAATAATATCATAATTATACAAATGACAAAATACGTTTGTGTTCAATTTAAAGGCAATCTAATCTAATGTATTTGTTCATTTAATTATACCATGCTTTGCCTCTTACTTAGCATGCATATGAAATGATGAATTTACAACAGTCTACCAAAAAACCCATATTTAATCTCTGATCTAAAATAAAACGTCTTAGGAGGTTAGTAGACAAAAGTAAGGTATCATTTTTGCAATAAACAACCCAAATACCTACTTTACTCATAGGTTAATAAAACTGTACTGATTGTATCAAGTAAATAGAAATTAATTCGTAATTCGGCGAATTAACTCTCAGTTTACACAGTTTTGAGGTGATTATTTCACCATAGTTTCCTCTGAAAGCCGGGATTATTCAAATCACAATATGGTAATCAAGAAACCAAACGTAAATGCATAAAGCTATTGTACTACTGATTGATTGTAATGATCAGTTGGGTACTACTCACATCAATCAGTGCTGTTTGCTAGCCAGATCAGATGGTTTGAGCTGATTCGGCTCCCTGAGTTGAGTGAAACGACTGTCCAGTGTTTAGATCACCCTGATCTGGCTAGCAGACACTACTGGCTAATGTGAGTAGTATCCATCTAATCATCTCAATCAATCAGTAGTGTAAGACTTTATGCATGAATTAAGTACACACTAGTTTAAATCAGAGGTTTAACTTTCCCTTAACAAATAATAATAAGTAATAATAATAATGATTGAATAAACTTACGTTTCACTCCATCCACGTATATCTGACTGCAATGGAGTATATACCCAGACCAGCATATATTTATCAATAAGATAGGTGAAAAGGAAGTATACCAAACCGAAGAAGTAGATTAATGGACATACTGGAGTATAAGCAATGATAACAGTGTGTACCACTGAAAGAAAAGCATGCTTTTCTCCGAAAGCGAATGTTTCCGGTTGAGGCTATAAAAAATATTGTTTGATACAAAAACATACATACATAATGTATATCATAATAATATGCAAATAGATTATACTTATATAGATTTAAAGGTGAAAATAAGGAATAGAAAACGAATGATATAAAAGAATATTCAACTTGTTATCAAACATTATTATTTTCGTGTCAATATATAGTACTGTGTTTCAGCAACCTAGCTGATTAATTTCCAACTGCGTATTCATGACACTGAAGTCTGTCGAGTATGATTTCTGAATTTTCGTGAGTAAAAAATTTTGCGAACCTAGTGAACACTTTTAATACACGAAAGTGAATGTCTTTACGCAAAATACTTGTACATTTCTTACCGCAGGCACTCAATGGTTTTGATGTGCACAGACTAAAATCACAAGGACACGCTTCATGTATGCTAAACCATCGTCTTCTTCGACAAGTCATGTTAACTGATATAAGATTGGATAGCAAAATGAAGTTAGGAGTGGTAAATCAAAGCACAACGTCAATCCATGAAACTTTGAACCACGTAGGTGAGTGGGGGTGGGGGCGGGAGTGTAGACTGCTCGGTTGAGGTCTTGAAGATAGTAATGAACTGTGACATCAAATTTTCACTATGCTTCAGATCATTATTCTTTCTCCTGGAAAGTCTATTTTAAAAAAATTATATTTGTTACTTCGCATTTGTTTATTTTTTTTCTACTTCTCTGTGTGGTTTTATGAGGTGTGACAACTAGAACTGCTGCACACATTTGTGCAAAGTTCTACACTAAACGAAAGAGCAGTTCATGTGTTTCATATTACTCTCGTATGTATTTACTTATATGCTAATAAGTGGGTACAAGGAATATACCTAAAATTAGGGGAAGGCATAGCATTGAAGAAGAAACGCACGAGATTTTCTTTTTTTCGTTTAAAGTAGCTGAGATTTCGCACATGAGGCAGTGAAATAAAAAGAATAAAAAGAAAAGAAATACTTTTCATTGCGTAGACAACTTTTAACACCTAGCTTAAGCAAATCGAATTATTGTGTTGATGACACTTTCAGTTATATTGTATATTGTATAAACTAATTACTAACTCTCTGAAATTATTATTATAGTATCCTTTAATTCCTAGAGGAACATAGGGCTTCGGCCGTGCGTCTCCATTGCGTTCGGTTCTCTGCTAGAGTTTTCACCTGGCTCCAAGTCTGCCCACACATTTTCATCTCTTCTTCACATGACCTCCTTCAAGTCACCCTTGCACTGACGACCAACTCGCCGCTTCCTTTTCGGGTTCCACTTGAGCAATGGCTTGTCTAGTGATGTCACTTGATGGCTTGTCTCCTAAGAGTATGGCCAATCCATCTCCATTTCTTCCTGCCTGTTTGTTTCACAATCGGTTCCTGGTTGGTTCGCTCATTGCCAGAGATCTCTGTTGCTGATCTTTTCTGGCCGGCCATCTGATCTTGAGTATTGAGCGAAGACAACTGTTAATGAAGGTCTGTAGTTTGTTTGAGATGCTCTTTATGACGCGCAGTGCAAGTCTCTGATCCATATAGTAGCACTGACTGACTTCACATTGGAGTTGAAAATCCGGATCTTATTTTTGATGCTGGGTGTTGCTGATCTCCACACAGACTTGAGAGTAGTGAAAGCTTGTCTTGCTTTTCCGATTCTTGCTTTGATATCCTCGTCAGTCCCAACCGCCTGTAGTTGAAACGATGCTTCCCAGGTCGGTAGGTAAAAGAGGTTGTTTCTTTCTCTGAAATTATATGGAACAGTTATCTTAAATCTGTGGAATTTATAAGTTATCCATCAATGATATCCAGAATACTTCGTAAATTCCTTCTATTTTTGTTTTGTAAATTTAATTTTTAATATCACAATGAGTTTTTTCTGCCATATACAAAATATTAATATAACTTGTAAATGTTTATATATACATACTGCATACAATGGTAGAAATAGTTTTGAATGAACACTTTGTGTCAACGTCAAACAGTATGGAAGTGACATCTCGAAGTCATGCATTTAATTTTTGTGTGGCATCTTTATGATATGAGCTGGCTAACTAACTTTAAAAGGTTCTCTCTACTTATAGCAAGAGTAATGATTGATATGTTAATGAATCGTTTAATTATTGATGAAAATTGTGAGACTGAGTGTAATTTCATTTAAGTATGTAGCACTATGAATATTTATAATTATTTTCAATTTCTTTATATTTTTGATGACGAGCAGCTGGTTAGTCCCATTTATTTATTATTTATTGTTCCCTTGGGTTCCTAGTGGAACATAGGGCTTCAACTACACGTCTACACTTGTTTCTGTCTTCTGCTGTACTTTTCACCTGCATCCATGTTAGTCCATACTGCTTCAACTCTTCTTCACACGATCTCCTCCATGTCACCCTTGGACGTCCTACTCGCCGCTTCCCTTTCGGGTTCCACTCGAGCACTGGCCTGACGCGCGATGTCACCCAACGGCCTCCCCAGCGAGTGTCCAATCCATCTCCACTTTCTCCTGCATATTTGTTGGGCGATTGGTTCCTGTTTTGTTTGTTCCCACAATTTCTTGTTGGTGATTCTTTCTGGCCATCTGATCTTCAATATAGAACGAAGACAGTTGTTGATAAAGGTCTGCAACAGGCTGTTGGAAATATTGTTTGTAACCCGCCAAGTTTCTGATCCGTATAGAAGAACTGACTGACTTGACGTTTGTATTGAAAATCCGAATTTTGTTGTTGATGGTTTGTCCCATACTCTTATTTTAATGGTTTTCAAATTAGCTGCGCATTGAATAACTTTACAATAAAGAAATAAAATACTTCCTTGACTATTAATGTACCAAAATAGGGAATATTGGGCAGATATTTCATCTTATTTTTGGATTCCTCAACAGCAGTCACCCACGAGTCTATTCAACGGAATGGTCAATGGGCTGGCCTAGTAACTTGAAGGTCCTGAGTTCGATTCCCCGGATTACTATTGAAGAATCCTAAAATAAAACTTAACAGCTGTCCACTATGAATTAATCTTATGTTTTATGATATTCCTAATTTTCAGGACAACATGAATTTCGTATCTTTTTGTGTGGAAGATCAGCTCAATTATTGAAACCACGAGCTGTAATGAGCAATTTAATTGCCTTATTATTTATTCTTATTATTATGTACGTGGCTTGTTTTTACCATTCGTTATATTATCACATAACAAGAAGCATATTTTGAAATTCAGGGTTAAGCGCATGTAGGCATGGTTATAAGAATTGTTTCAAAAACATTTACATACACCCCGGTTATACGTCAGTAATAATTCAAACTATATATACAGATATATGGATATATATATTTCCCAAAAAAATTACTTCGGAAAAAACTTTTTTCTCTGCCAATGTATGCGAATAAAATGTCCGCTTTATCAATCTTCGAATTATGTAATCCAAACGAAGAAGTTGTAGACCTGCGCCAAGAAGCCCACAAGTAACCACATAATTGATAAATAATGAACCACTATCCGGTAGAAATATACACTCCAATTGAAATGGGACGTAATAGGTGAATGGGTCCGAAGGATTATACTCAGTAGTTATGACTTGATACAAGAGAGCTGGAAAACTTAAAACATAGTATTATATATATATATATATATATGCAAAGCAATTACAAAGTATTTAGTATTCTTTTTACTTACGACAAAAAGATATACAAATGTACAAAAAAGAATACTGCAATAAACCTAATAAATTTTGACTGAATTTCCAGACAACATTGGAGGCCATGCTAACAATTAAAACAGCCAAATATTATGTGAATATGCATAGAAAATGCAGAATCTTGCCACAACACTGGCAGACGTTTGAATACATATACGCATATACTTGGTATATGAAACGAGATAGACGATTTGATAACATTGTGGAACGTGACTGTTAGGAGAGCTTTGAAAAGGACCTGTGTTATAAATGCATGCTATATTGTTAACACTATTTATTTATTTTATTTTTAGAATTATTACGTTAAATCTAATGTTTACCATCGCTACAAGTTGAAATGTGAAAGTGACTCATATTACCAGACTGTTGAATACATTGAAAACTTGGCAGCTAACTTTATTTAGTCACTAATACGCTTTAAACGAAAAGAACAAAAAGCTGAGCGAACGTTGGATTCTATTGGCTGAATTGTCTATGAGTTGGCCTTGCAACCGGAAAGTCCTGGGTTCGACCCCTGGTGGTGGGTGCATATTGCTTCAGAATCCCAAGCTAGGATGAAACACCTGTTCAGTACTCCTCGGTTTACCAATGGTTCTCTAACTGACGTAGGCTCGTCATCAAGCCTGTAACCAATTAAATCCCTAAAAGTCAACACTTCAACAATATATTTTAGACAATTTAATCCTCATAAGCTGTACAACTGCATTTTAATACATAAGTTTACATGGTTACAATTATTATTTATTTCAATATAATGCCGAAAGGAGATGATAATTTTCAAATTGATATGAAAATTGAAGGGGCAGGGTTCAGTCAAACACACAAACAAAAGCCATCGGTCGGTCGGTCGGTTTTCGACATAGAACTTTGCACATATGTGCGGCAGTTCAAGTCACCACACTCCATGTAGCACACAAAGCAAGAGAAGAAAATAGGAGAAATGCATAATATAGACAGTAAACAGAGGTGTGAGACAAAGGAATAGTAATAACGAAGATCAAAACAAAGCCATAGAAAAAATACCTACAAACTCTCATATTAAGGTGGAAATTATCTCTAGTAATTATCCTTCGTTACTATGTTCAGCTGAATAATAATTGGAACTTATGTATAAAAGTACGATTGTCTAGCTGTTAACGATGAAATCACCGAAAAGATGTCTGTTCTCAGCTTCTTGTTTTTCTTTAATCTCCAATGTCCCGGTGAGTATTTTTGAATAATATGTTTAACTAGGAACGTGAAAATGATTGAAATACTAAAGTTGAAGTTATTAATACCTAACTGCTGAAAACTGTAAGCTGAAGTGGATGCTTGAAGTTTTATGTTGTCCGCTTTTGGTGATGCTGATATCATTGAAAGTGTTAAGCAGACGGTCTTCTGAATAACTTCGATTTATTAGAAAAAACTCAGATTGGTAAAACACACAGAAACTGTGCAAACTATTTGATTTTAAAGGGATTAATTTCAAAGCGGTAATAAATTTAGTATGTAAACAAGTATTCAATGCACACAACAAGGATAATGTCCCATTTTGAAGAAGTTATACTATTCAAGGAGTAATAGTGTTTCTCGTTTGTCCTTCAAAATCTTAATACCGTCATATTGTTAACATAATAACATATACAGAAACAAATACTCTTTAGAGACAATGTACAGAACACATATGAGTCAGTATGGAAGTCACTTTTTGCTTTCAGTTCATATGTGCGCTTAAAGTCACTTGACTATGGGTGTAACGTGTTGTTTTTACTACAGGTGCACTATTCATTTCTAATAGTGAATGCAATTTAAGACAGTTCTCAACACTAATAAATACCAGAGGTAAGTACGAAAAAGTGTTCCCTTGACTGCCCATGTAAGGGAGGAAAGTAGAATCCATTAGATTGAAGCTATCTGCTTTACGACACAACTGGAAGAAAATGAGAGAGAAATTATGAAAAATCTAACTGCTCAAAGAATATGAGACTGTCTGCTTTTTCCTCTTCCTCCTGAACATATGCAAATATTACTGCAAAGCTGACAACAATGTCTGTTTACACTTATTTTCAGCGTTAATTTACCACAACAATACCAAAAGTCTATGTGCCTAATAACTACATGAATGAAGGTGAATAAGAATAGTCAACACAGAAATAAAACAGTAAACGCTAATCCGAACCATCTATATGTGAGACGTTTTAAACGTCTAAGATGATACAGACCCTATAGATTGACAATGTCATGAATAACACAAACGATTTCTAAGGAAGTGTTCTGTCTTACCTACTACATTAAGAAACTTAGACAATCCGGAATCACCCAACCTCTACTTTCACAATTTGTCAACTCTTGTATCCTACCTATTCTACTTTACTGCTCCCCGTTAGTCTTTCCTGGTCTACTGAAAAAGGACTATTCCATCCTGAGAAGGATGTTGACAGTAGTTAGTAGGACTAGTGGTGTTAATCTCAGTCAGCTCGTGACTACTTTAGTTGATAGGCATCTGAATACATGCTAAAAATGGTCAAAAACCATACTCTCAGACCCCCAGCACCCCCTCTATTCCCAACTCTCTCCTTGTATCTCATCAAGTAAAACCAGAAATCAGCATAAAATAATCTATGCTCGTACAACCAAGTACAGGAACTCAACGATACCATACTTGGCCCGTGTTCTAAGCGACAGAGACAATGTTAAGCGTGAAGCCTATGACTTGCTTTGTTATTAACAACATAATTTTAGGCTCTTTTATTTCTCTCTTATTTTGTATTCTATAGTGAACTCCTTCTTAAACATACTTAGCTGTCTAAATTATTAACATTGCCTTACTTTTGTTTTGTACTTTACTCTATTTGTTCTTTTGTGTATCTACTAGTTCCTAATATACCAGCACTATGAGCATTACAAAATTGTCCTGTCATTAACCATCATGTAATTATTAGTTTTGTGGTTGTTTTTTCTAATTTTTGCGGCAATATTAAACTGACAATCATTGGTTGTGAACGCCATTATCACCATCTTAAAATTTTGTATTATGCAGGATTACTCACACTACCACTACAAACACCGAATTAGACCTGATAAAAAAAAACAACAACCCTGAAATGTTATTTTAAGATTGTTTAGAGTTGTTTCAACCAAATTAACTGACCAACTTGGCGATAAACTTTCTTAAATATCATTTCATAACTTCTTGTATGACTATAGCTTTACTGTCACCATTCATAATCATATCATTGCTTCCACTACCCAATACTGAGTTATTATTATATGATGTTTCTTTTCCTTTCTACTTCTCGGTATTTTTTCGCATTTTTTTAGAAATTATTTTGTGTTTTTCCTGTTTCTTTTTGCTGTTGGTGTCTTTATATTTATTTTTTTTGAAATACTCCTTTTAAATATCTGACAAAATTAGATGCAAATATTGTAGATATGTGCTGAAAATTCCACTTTGTACCACTAGCACTGTTTCTGGAATAAAGCAAATTATTATTATTATTATTAAACATACCCTGTTATTCCAAGTGAAGGAAAAACAAGTATCGTGAAAAATAGAAACCAATAGGCATTTCGATATACAACGCTTTCTAGTCCTCCACGTGTTTTATGCCTTGTCCAATATTCACTTGTAATCACTAAACGCGTAAGAATCACCGATGTCCCAGCCAAAATTGCAGCTGGAAACCATTTGAAGACAAATGGGCGCTGAAAATAAAAGCATGGCAATTAGTTTAACAAATCACATTAAAAGGCACAGAATTAGTCGCATGATTCTCTAGTCAGTAAACAGTTGATATTATTTATTTATTTCAAAACTAATTTAAGTAAACAAAAAAAACAAATAATTATCGAATCAATTTTTTTTTTAAAATTCGAAATATAATGTTAGGACACCGGTGTTCACTATGAGGAGACTGTGGAAATGGATTTATAGGAAGACATATTGGAGCAGTGAAGATTCAAGGATGAAACCTTTAATTATGATTCGATCTTCATGATATGTAAGTACACAGCTGAGGATAGTTACATTTGAGTACACAATGATGCGAATTATGATACGAGACAGATTACGCAAGATTCACTTCTTGTCTTTTCAGCGCAAAAGCTTTATACTTCATCAAATCGTTTTACAGCATTTAACCTGTCTGCCTATTCACTACTCTTCAAAATTGATTTCGTGAGCTAATTTCTATCAGCAGATGCATCAGAGTTGGAATATATCGTTAACTCGTTTCCAAAAGCCATTAAAATATCTCACAAAAACAGAGAAAAAACTGATTCCATAAAAGAAGAAAAATTATACAGGGTTCAGTAAATTCAATCAGTGTATAACATAGATCATTTCCCAGCTGTCTTAAATATTGACTTTATAGACTTTGAGAAGGACTTCGACAGCGTTGACTGCGAAGTAATTTAGAAGCTACTCAAGTACTACGGCGTACCCCAAATATTCATCAACCTTATTCAACAACTGTACGACAACGGCACATGTCAAGTGATCCACAACGGGAAACTCAGCGAAGCGTTTGGAGTAAACACAGGAGTCAGACAAGGGTGCTTATTATCACCAATGATATTCCTGATTGTAGTGGACTCGATTATGCGTCAGACAGTAGGAAACGAGAAGACAGGGACCGACGCAAATTACCTAGAAGACCTGGATTTCGCAGATGATTTATGTTTGATGTCACAAAAAATCGAAGACTTACAAGCGAAAACCGACAGACTGGCCGAAGAAGCAGCAAAGGCAGGACTGCAGGTGAACATAGACAAGAAGGAGGTTATGAAAATAACCAACCAACAACAACAACAACAGCAGCAGCAACATCCAGTGCCAATCACCATCAACGGGAGGGATTTGAAAGAGGTTACTTCATTCAATTATCTAGGGAGCATTGTCTCAAATACAGGAGGAACGGACGAGGATGTCAAATCGAGAATCGGGAAGGCGAGAAACACATTCATCAACCTGAAACCAATCTGGAAATCTTCGTCACTCAGCATCAACAACAAAATTCTGATTTTCAATACAAACGTCAAGTCAGTCAGTTCTTCTATACGGATCAGAAACTTGGTGGGTTACAAACAATATTTCCAACAGCCTGTTGCAGACCTTTATCAACAACTGTCTTCGTTCTATATTGAAGATCAGATGGATGGAAAGAATCACAAACAAGAAACTATGGGAACAAACAAAACAAGAACCAATCGCTCAACAAATATGCAGAAGAAAGTGGAGATGAATTGGACACTCACGGATGAGGCCGCTGTGTGACGTCGCGCGTCAGGCCAGTGCTCGAGTGGAACCCGAAAGGGAAGCGGCGAGTATGACGTCCAAGGGTGACATGGAGGAGATGGTGTGAAGAAGAGTTGAAACAGTATGGACTAACATGGATGCAAGTGAAAAGTACAGCAGAAGACAGAAGCAAGTGGAGACGTGTAGTTGAAGCCCTATGTTCCATTAGGAGCCCAAGGGAACAATAATAATACTAATAATTAGAACTTTATTGAGATTAATGAAGTTCTGTGAGACATTTAATTGATGGTGCCAATATGAATTATTTGCACATTCAGGAAGGCGCGTTAGTAAAAAATGCATAAAATGACTAAAAGTTTTTCCAACCACCGTTGTTTTGGGTTGCGTATTTTGATGTTATTTTAAAGTGATTGCAGTCAACACTTCATTTTAAACTAAAGTTGTCATTTCATTTAACAGTTTACTGAACGACAGCTTATTTGATAAGCGATTAGTCTCTATTCCACGCTACTAAGTCCATAAGCGAAAAACTGTACTGGAAACGTTGTTCATCGAATAATACTGTGTCACTGTAGGCTAAACCAAATAATCTAACCTACCGTTGTGCATGAATTCTACTCTTATACTTATTTTAATTTAGCTATGTAAAGATATCGGTAGACAGTTTCATAGCTGTCACTGATGAGGAAGCTCTGAATGTGAATCCTGAATGTTCACGGTAAAACTTGGAGTTTAGTGACTTATTCAGTGAAGCACTAGATAAGTAATCCGGATAGAATTGACTCTAATCCTGTAGAACACGAGTGTTTTGTTTAAACCTCGTGTAGTATTAATTGATGATGATAAACAATGGACAGTTCAGTTTGACTTAGTGCGTCAATGTTCAAACGGAAATCAGAACAGTTTCTGTCAATGATTTGGCAATACTTTTCTCATCGTCAGCAGTGAATATAACTCTTATTAGTCAATCATGGTAAACTGTTGTCCCCCAGTATGTTGAATCATTCAAAAATAGACTATACGATAAAATATAAGAAGACATGGTTCTAATGACTAATTCACGATATCAATCTCAGAGACTGAATCATAAATACGATCATTTAAATAAACAACGAATAAAAATTTATGAAAAGGATATTTCTTTGATTTTATACAATTAAGAAAAGTGCACAAACACTCTTAATAGAAATGCACATCTGGAACAAATATTGTTCACTTACAGCGATTTTACCAAGCCAATCAAAAAGTCCAGTGAAATTCACTACAGTTAGCACATAGACTGGTGATGTTAACAAAAATGCCATTAATATAACAGCTAGTCGAACTCCAATCACGCGTAGCCACCATCTATAGCCGTGGTATGTTGTGGAAGTCAAATTCAACCTGTGTAAATTCATCAGTTTAAGAATATATTAGCTTATTCAGCATGATAGTGGAGAGCATAATCTGATATATATATATATATACATATATATATACATATGCAAAGAATTATCTCGATATAAAATAAAAAAGTGTATAAAAATTATAATCCTCCTATAAAGAAACTTTTAACAGTATACACCATTAAATCTAATAACATAGAATCACAACTAACTAGGTTGTAAAGCCAGTGTACCAACTTTTAAATCCGAGGAATCCTCACAGTAGCTAAAACCACAATTCATACAAAATTTGTCATCAAAAGTAGACATGATAAAATACATAAATAATTATCATAATATTCGAGTGTTAGTTTGCACGGATTTGAACCCAGGTAACTAATTAGCTCTGCATAGGGGCAGCCACTAGTGACCCACACTTGAATATCAATCTGATGCTTATTAGTGACTAGCCCTATGCAGGTAGGTAGTTACCTGGGTTCTAGTGGTAGTGGGAAGTCGTCATCAGTCGGTTACAGCAGGATATCAACACGATTATATCAACGATATGTATATAAATATATATTGCAGTATATAAGGATACTAGTTTTTTGAAAACTCAATTTCATGATGATGCCATTCACTACATTATGACAGTTGAATGATTTTATATTTTTTTTTAACAGGGGAATTTAAATCAATCACTTTTGTTAAGTTATACATCACCACCTATTAGTGTATGCTAGCTTACAACAACGATATGTGCACAGACAGTAACGAACGAAAAAAATGTCTTTCTTACATACCATAATAAATCAGAGGCCGGTGGAGCTAAACGAGCATGTTTAAATACTTTGCTGCGTTTTGGTATTTTGAGTGAATATAAACGACGCCATGGACGATGCTCTTTGCAGTACCATTTTAGGTTTAATGTATTATCTATAGGTAGCACGTGTAAAGGACAGACTGTATATGCAGACAGAAATCTAGGGAAACAAAAAGGAAAATACGTGAAACAAATAATTCAGTTATCAATATGTACATATATATGTATATATTGTGTATATCATCATTTTATGGTGCGTTAGTGGTTCAGCGGTAGAGTGCTGGCCAACCATTCACGTGGTCCGGGGTTAGATTCCCGTCCTGTGCACACCTTTACCTTCCATAGCCGGTTATAATACCGACAAAGAGGAGAGGTTGGGCGTGGGGTCAGCAACCACGACACCCCGTGGAGGACACCACTGATACTGAAACCTCTAAAGCTTGAAGCCCTATGTCCCACTGGGAAAGCAAAGGAATAAAAAAATCATCATTGTATAAGCAATTCTCAGGTCAACAGTGTTGTCATGTTGAGACACAGAATTCAGTGGCTCCCACAGGGTTCACTGTTTACAAGTCCTGGAACTGCATAAAGGAAGCAGACAGGCGGTCAGCCCACGACATATCGGTGTCCAATAGTTGTGTTGGACTAGAGTTCGTCCGTGCATCCCGACTGCCTGACTATATGGTTTGAGACATTATCAAATATGGTTGAGAATCAAAATCATTGGCAAACATTTTGCCATTTTATGCCTTTTTCTCTTCCTGAAATTGATACGAAATGACGAACGACCATTTGAATGCTCTTCGTAGGTATTTTCACTTCTTTTCATACTGCTGTTCCTGATTCATTTTAGTTCTCCTTCCCTTATATTGTGGCACAGCTCTTCGTGCCAACATAGTGTTTCAAGTAATGCATAATAAATATATTTAATGCGAAATATGCAAAGCCCCTAAAGTACAACCGTACAGCGAAAGGACATCGGGAGCTCTAAAAACAATTATTAATAAGGCTGGAATTACGGTGGCATTCAAAGTAACCAATTCACTCAGACATAAACTTTGTAGGCTTAAGGAACCAATAAACTCACTTAGGCAAAATAATATAATTTACCAAATACAAATGAATGACTGTGAGGTCAGTCAGATTATCAGAACATAGCAATTTAGCTAGATCTAGAATGGTTGACTCCGCCAAGTTATATTATCTTAGCAAAATACTCAGCCACTGTTATGCATGCCCTTGAATGGAATCACAAAATAAGTTGGAAAAAAGTGCACATTTCGAAACGTAATTAATTTAGCTGGAGAGGGAAGGTAATCAGTGAATCTTTGTTTATCGGATAAATACCAAACTAATGCAATAGGAACGATTAAACTTCTTTTGCTGATACATGAAAAGTAGCAATAACAACCAGGGTAGAGTAAGATTATATAAAGCAAGTTATGGATGTGATTCTGAACGGCAATACAACGTCCTCGAAACACTATCCATAAATTAATACTCTATTAGTGTATCTAGTGTCAATATGGAATTCTTTTTCCTACGCCAACAAATGTTTAGTTTTCTGGACCTGTGCCGTTTGATGCATTGAGTGCAATGTTAGGTGATTTGAAAGCTTAGCACACTATTATCTTTGTGAACAGTTTAGAGTAGTAGATAGGCTGATATCCAGTTATACACATTTTAACTGACTATTTAATTAGGCATTCACAGGTAGACAGTGAGATTTCAATTGGGTCTTTGTTGCTGTTAGATACGGTAGAATTTTCAAGTGCTGTATTTAGCTTTTAATACCAGTCAGTTTAACAAAATAAACATAAAATAGAACCATTAGATCGGTAAGGATACTTCTGAAATACTACTACTACTACTACTACTACTACTACTACTAATAATAATAATAATAATAATAATAATAATAATAATGGTTTCTCTTACTTGATTGCTTGTTCAGAATTCTCCACACCGACAAACACAATTCCTGTATGAGGTATATTCAACATATCAGACTGATATTTTCCTTTCTCTTTCACTGAAAATTCAATATTCAATACACCTCCAAGTGTTTTAAATGTGTTTATTTGTGTTTCAAGTAAATTCAATTGCTCATTGTACACCTCAATTGCATTGACCTTGGATTTACACAGACCAAGTGAATGACAACAAACAGTGGATTTATAATAGTATTGTTGTTTACCAGTAGTTTCTAATTCTTCAATTGCAGTTTGAAGATAAATTTCTGTTTCATTTCTAATAAAAAAAGACGGAAAAAAAAGAAGGAATGATTCTTCACAATGTAAACAATAGAGATTTTTATTTTTATGATCTCAGCTGATTGCGTTGATTGAGAGGCTTCCGGTGTCCTTCTAAACACCTTCAGTGAAAGCCTTAATGTGGAGTGAATTTAAATTTACTCGACATACCATGCATATATATAATTGATTCATTTGGATTTGTATAAATGGATGATGACACACAGTCATCAAGTAAGTTAGTGAGTGAGAGTAAGGATCATGACATTTTCTTCAAATTTTGGAATGTGCAACATTAATCAGATTAAGTAAAACAAAATAAGATTACAGAATCCTTATTGCATATATTATTCATACATTTGAAGATAATCATTGTTAAATGATATGACTATGAAAAAAAATAATAAAAAACAACTAAGGTCCAATGGACTCACTTAGCTTGTTCAAGTTCCATCAATTGTCTAACCAAGTAGACTGGTTCAATCCATTTCACAGTGATATCAGGATGAAATGTGCTAAATTTAAATAAATTAAATAAAAACAAACAAACATTAATTGGGGCATACTTCATGAAATTGGTAACATGAAAATGGAATTCAAATCACATCACACAGAAGTAAATGAGTTTTACTCATTTTTATACATGCATCACTCACTTCCTAGTGTATTTTATGGTAAAATTGATATAAATCAGGGGACAGTTGTATTGTGTCAGCTTGAGCAGAACTCATAGTCGCCAGATTATAACACGAATATGTCTTCATACAGAAATTAGTACAAGACCCACTATTCCCCCAAGTTTTACTATTTATGAAATGGCATAATCTAATGTCAGAATATACAACTTCAAGGACACAATCGACGGTTAGTTGTTATCAAATAAGTCTCAGAACTGGCCGTTGGTATGCGCTAGTTGGTAGATCAACAAAAACTGTTTAAATATATTTTGGGGGGGGGATTTCGAGGTATTTTTTTAAATGGAAATTCCAACTTACGTAAGGAAACCAGACAATTTCTATGTGCGAACTCATATTATGCAAAAGAATGCCCACGCAAAGGTAAAACATATAAATATAAGGTTAACATAATGCTCATTTGATTCTTATAAGGAACACAGAGGAAAATTTATGCAGCATAAAAACTTAACTCCATGTAATTCAGTATTAATTATTGGAAAACCATTACCCCATGTATAACAGCCTTATCATACTGATAGAATTATTGTCATTATTATTGCCTAGAAATCTAAGACTGATATAAACCACTTAGTTCAGGTGAGTAAAATGAAAACGTGATAAGACATTAATTTTGCTTAAATCTATCCTGCATATATATATATATATTTATGAAAACCTTACAAACACAAAACGAAACAATCATAAAACTAGAATTGGAGAACAACAGGTAAGATTAGAATGTAAAAATTATTAGGAGAAAAAAATGCGTGAAAACAAATCAATAAGTTAGTTCTCTGACAACCTGACTTCGCGTTTCCTGCATGGATTATGCTTCAACCAGCATAGAATACAAATGCAAAATAATAATAAAGGCTTCCTGCCGATTGCCTCTAACTATCAAATATCATCAAATCAATGTGCACCGTGATGTTGAGCTACCTAGAATGGTGGCCACATTGCAAATACCTGACTGATAGAATTCAGCCTGCACCAAAGAAAGGACCAGACACGTCACACTAGTTACTAGTGTCCAATCAAAATGGCTCGGAATATAGAAGACTTAAACTTATTCAGCGACTGATTCTCAAGCAATAAAACCACATATATATCACTTATTTCGTAACAACAGAGAAATATTGTCGAATATATCTTAACAGGCGTCGGTGGCACAGCGGTAGAATGCTCGCTGACCACGCAGGTGGTCGGGGTTCGATCCCCGGCCGACGCACTCCTTTACCTCGCTAAGCCAGTAATAAGACTCGTAAAGAGGGAAGGTTGGGCATGAGGCTAGCAACCGCATCCCATAAAAATAAATACCACTGCTACCAAAACTTCATGCCTCTAGCTCGGAGCCCTATGTTCCACTGGGAACGTAAAGGAATAAAAACAAAAATTTAAAAAATATCTTAACAGATTACACTTTCAATCAGTATTCTGGACATTCAGAGTTAAGTTAGCAGTTATAAAGCAATAATTACATTGTAGTATATATCAAACACAAAGCACTCACCGTGAAGCAATTTAGAAACTACTTCAAAACTATGGAGTAGAGTGCAGCAAACTTTTATCAACCTCATGCAACAAACAGCCTTATGACATTACCACATGTCAGCTGATCCACAAAGGAAAAATCAGAAAAGTCTTTGAAGTGAGTGAACAATGGAGTAAAACAAGACTGCCTTTTATTGCCGATTTTATTCCTAATTGTTGTGGAATGGATTATGCGTCAGACTGTGGGGAGCGAGGAGATAGGAATACGGTGGACTGAGCAATAAAAAAAACTCCAGGAGATCTGGATTTCGCATGATATTTAAATGTAGTGTCACACAAACTTGACGACTTACAGGTGAAAAGCAGAAAACTGCCTGAAGAAGAAGGCATCAAAGACATGACTTCAAGTGAATATAGAGAACATGGAAGTGATGAAGATAACCACCCAACGAACCAACAACAACAACAACCGCCACCAATCACTATCAACGGGAGAAATTTGAAAGGGATCACTCACTTCCTTCGCTTATCTGGCAAACGTCGCCTCAACTATATGCACACTACAAGGATGTGCATTTCAAAATCGGAATCAGGAAGGCAAGATACACCTTCATCAATGTGAAGTCAGTTTGGAAATCTTCTACACTCTGCGTTAGCAAAAAGGATAAGATTCAGACTTTCAACACCAATGTTAAGTCAGTCAGTTGGTGCTTATATACAGGTCAGACAGTTGGCATTTCCAACAGGCTACTGCAGAGTCTAATCAACAGCTCCCTACTTCGCTGACTCCATATTGAAAATCAAATGGCCAGCCGGGCAGAAAAAATTAGCCACGGGGAACTATGGGAACGAACGAACCAAGAACCTATTGTCCAACAAATATGTAAAAGGAAATGGAGATGGACGGGACACACACTTAAGAGGCAGTCGGGTAAGATCACGTGTCGGAGCCCAGCTCGAGTTCATCAAGAGATAGAAAGTAGTCAGAACACCAAGACTCAATCTCCAGCTCGCCTCTAAGAAAGACGTGTACATCAAGCTACCCTATATGGGGCATCAAAGCAGCTTGATAACTAGACAAAGACTGAACGCTGCTGTCAAAAAGACTTTTTATGCAGCCAATATCATAATAATAGAGAATGTTAAGCCAATATATCTATCTAAGCCTTTCGAACATGAGAAAAATGACGTCACATCTCACTGTATTTACCAATTTGAATGTACGTGTGGACACACATACATAGGGAGGACTAATCGATCTCTGCAAGTAAGGGCTTCAGAGCATATTCCTAAATGGCTCCAGAAACAAATGGAATCTTCAGAACCTATTAGCGGTGAGAACAGGAGACCTAGCTCTTCTATTGCGAAACATATTATAGAGACAGGACATACAATTGACGTTAACAGATCTTTTAAACCTATCTATAAAACGTGTTTGGGGCGTATCCTAAAGTTTGTGGAAGCCCTAGCTGGCAATGAGAAAGTTTAAGCCAGCTTTATGTGTTCAAAATCAATTCGTCATCACATTAAACCTTCCTTGGTAAATTTTGTTTTGATACCATAACAGATGTACTATTACCTCTGTTATTTGGTTTAGTGGTCTTCATTGTTACTTTGACCTTGAATATGTCCTTTAAACTTGACCTAAGTCTATTTTCTCACCTCTTTATTAAATTCATATATATTCCTATGACAAGTCCGTGTGTGATCAGCTTGTTCGAAATGTGTTGCGCAAATACATTACACGATTCAGACAAATTACGTCTTCTTATTGCTTTATCTAAATTCATAAAGGGAACTAATTGTTTTAAATAATACTTATCTCTAACAGATACTACACAGTTTAAAATCAATCAAATAATGGAGCACAGTGATCATATATGTGACTAAATGGTTACATAAAGATAATCGGTCGACAAGGTTGCACACTACTCAAAATAAATAGTACCATGTATAATTTTGCATTTATTTCCGCATTTTTCTTTTCATGTACAAAGGTTTAACATTCATCTTTTACAGGTGACCAATAATATTGTTTGATGGCCGGAAAGAATCACAAACAAGAAGCTATGGGAACAAACGAAACAGGAACCAATCGCCCAACAAATATTCAGGAGAAAGTGGAGATGGATTGGACACTCGCTGAGGAGGCCGTTGAGTGACATCGCGCGTCAGGCCCTCGAGTGGAACCCGAAAGGGAAGCGGCGAGTGGGACGTCCAAGGGTGACGTAGAGGAGATCGTGTGAAGAGGAGATGAAACAGTATGGAATAACATGGACGCAAATGAAAAGTACAGCAGAAGACAGAAGCAAGTGGAGACGTGTAGTTGAAGCCCTATGTTCCACTAGGAACCCAAGGGAACAATAATAATAATATTGTTTGACACGTTGACTAGTAATTTCTAGTTATAAAACAAAATCAGTCTTACATTTATGCCTTGTACCTTCTGGCTGGTAATTCAGTGATCGGCTGACAGATACTCACAAGAAAACTTAAAATTATCCAGTTATTATTATATTATATTTGAAGACGAGCGAAATGATTGCAGCAGCAAGCTAACCGAAAGCTTCCAAAACTAGGCCTCTGGTCTACCTCAACTACACAACTCTCCTTGTCACCTAACATAATAATAATAGCTTTATTCTGAACATGTTTATATATAGTACAGAATTTCCAGCTTTGTTTTAACTACTCCTTATACAGAATATTCCAGTAAAACAGTAATCTGCATAACATCTTGTTTTATCTGCAATATTCTCCAACCTCCAATGTATTTGTCCCTTCAGAACATACAAAGAAGTATGTTGAAAGCCATTCAAAAGTGCTGGTGAGTACACATTGTTCTTTAGGGACATAAATAGGTGATTAAAACAAAGTATAGCCGAGTTAATCGGAGGGATTGTTTCCTCTGGACAGTTCAGTAGCCCAGTGATTTAAACGGGCTACCGTCACTTCTTAACTCTAAAAAATGTAATTCATGAGTTGGAAAAATAGTCAGTTAGAGAGTCCTTTTGTTTTGCATTCATTGATTGCACAGGATATCAATATGCAGACGGAGGCTAATGCAAACAGTTATCTTACCTCAGTGATTCATTTTACTCGACCTTGTTAGAACTATTCATAATTCGTGATTACAAGATAATTAAAATAATTATCTATAGTTTGGTTTGTAAGGATTAGTTATGTTTTACGAGTTGATCACGGACTGATATCAGCTAGAGAACCATTGAAAACCAAGGAGTACTGGACAGCTGCTGTTTCATCCTAGTTTGGGAATCATCGGCAGTACGCACCCACTGGGATTCGAACCCAGGACCTTCCGGTTACAAGGCAAGCTCGTATACCAT